GTCTGATTTATCAAAGCTGTCAGTGGCCTCATTTCATACGAGCAGCCAAGGCTGAATGGGTGTTTGTCCTGCATGTAGCCAGATGTATTGATCCTTGAATCTGTTATCATGTAACACTTCCTGTTTTACTATTGCTTGCACTCATGAGAATGAATTGTAATGGCCCTATTAAAATATCTTTATAGTCTTTAGACTAAGAGCCTTGTTTTAGAAAAAGGAACATGACAAGTTTGTGTCCTCACAAACATTTAAGAATAAAAGTGATAATGAAGTGAAATAAATGAATGAACACATCAGATGTAGGTAGGTTGGTATTATACTAGGGCAGTGTAAGTAATGTATATGACTCCTACTGATTTGTGTTCACTTACCTCCAGTAACCCATAAATGTGCTGGTATTTGCATTCCTACAAACATTCCTATATTCCCCGGTTCTTATACAAAACAGGTTAATCTATGAATTCAAGGTCCAGTGTGTAACATTTAGGAGGATCTATTGGCAAAAATGGAATATGATATGCATAACTATATTGTCACCTGAATATAAGAATCAATGTGTTTTTGTTATCTTAGAATGAGCCTTCCATGGAGTTCGCCATGTTTCTATAGTAGTCGAGAAGGGACAAACCAAACACTGGGGTGTTCATGTTTTTTGCGCGTTATCGCAGCCACCATAGTTTGTGCTTTGTGCTGGAAAGGGGGAGGGAGGAAGTTGTGATCTGCAAGTACACCATAGATGCCCCTAAATCCTGCAAACTGGCCCTTTAAAGAAACATAACTTCTGTCTATCTTGAGCTGTCCTGTCGGCTAAAGCCCCCACCCCAAACGAATTTTATGTGTATAATAATAATAAACCCTCAAAATCAAAAAAGTATTTATTTAGTGTGTTTGTCAGGGAAAAGCATAACAACAATTCAATGTACGTGCTTAGTTGCCAGTTTATAAGGTACACTTAGCTAAACCTAATGCAGCGTATTACATCCTATGGTAACAGTCCTGCAATAAATCCGCCCTTCATGAAAGGGATAATGTTAAGTTTTTGTGGAAATTGTTTTAGAGAGGTGTTAATTCATCTGTATGGTCATTTTGGAGGATGTAGTTTGTGATGCTGTTGAACTGTATTTCATCACACAGAGAGGTGTTTCCGTTAATTAGCCTTCCCTCAGTGTTATAATTGGTCAAAACTAAATAGTTTGAGGAACTTATTGGTGAAAATAAAATAAAATAAATGAATTAGAAGCAGTGTAATATACTGTAGTCCCTAAAGGTGTGTGTTTAAGGGTTAATCACAGGATCAGAGTTCAAGCTTGTAATTTGATGTCTGGTTACTGAGAAATTCCACTCAGTAAGTAACACTTTCCAGTACATCGTATAGTTTATAGTTGTCTGACTCAAATTTTATTTGCTATGACCAACAGAGGCTTTGTAGAATGATACGCAACCACACCTCAAAGTTTTCCCTGTGCTCCTTTGGTATTTACTGCTAGTTGCATAAGTGATCACACTGTGGGATCTTTGGAATTTGAACAACCGAAAATAATTTGATCATTAAAATAGTAATTGATCATTCACCAGTCACCTCCAAGACATATCTTTCATCATTTTGATTCTGTCAGATTCTGGAGATAAATCAACTAAATCATTATGGGTGCCATAAAACTCTCACTGTGAGCCTTGTCATTTGAAAGTACCAAGCCCAAGAACATTAGTCTATGTGGATGTGTGCATGCTGTGTCCGCAGGCACAGTAATGGGAAAACATTCAGCCAGCTCGCGTGCAAGCATAACTCCCAGACATACCTCACAAGGCAGGGAGTGTTAGTTGGCAAGCGCTGCAGGAATGCCTATTGTTCAACAGACAAAAATTGTATGAGAAAATGTCTGTTTGATGTGAGACACTACACTTCCCGCCCCTCAGTGTTGCACTGCAATATCCTCTTAAATCACAGTTTTTCATGAATCACAGAATTTTTTTTTATGAATTGAATTCATTTCATTTAAACAACTCTACTTAAGTGCCACTGTAGTTAATCATTAGTCAATACTGACTTAATACAATGACATAATTACCTTATGTTTGTTAGTCAATTGAATTGAAAGAATCATTACTAATACATTTTTTGGGGGGAAAAAACAAAAAACAGATCATTCAGTCTTTATTTTAAATGTGTCAGTGGAAAATGAGATAACATCATTGTGTGTGATTTGTTTACTTTCTATTTTAGTTTTAGTTTTACCTCCAAAAACAGAAACCACTCCGTATATTGCAGCAATTTCAGTTGGCTTGACTGTTGTTGGCTGAACTAACACATCTATAACCCCTGCACAGTTTTTGATTTATTAGAGTAAGATTGCAGAGAATATGTGTGGCGGTAAACAGATGTCAGTGAGTTGACACAGGCTCCAACCCTCCTGCTGTCTTTGTCCTTGTAAGGAGACTCCGGGTGTGTTCGTTTGACTGAGTCACACCAAAGGTACAGGAATACCAGAACCACAGCTATAGCTGAGAAGCCGGATAGAATACCTTTGCTAAGCTGTAGTGACATCTTTGTTTGGATTAGCCATTATAATCTGGATGCTTGAAAACAGTCGGCGGTTTTCCATTTGACATTTATAGATTGCTGAATTGTAACGGCTCCAGATGATGTGGAAGCAGCTGCTGCTTTGTTCTGTCAATGATTCCATTATACCTTTGGTAGATGACATAAATAACGTTGACACATTGTTGACACAGGGAAGGCTTTCCCTCCATCAGTAGGTCGATTTAATCACGTTGTCCAGTTATCACCCACAGCATTAAAAGAAAGGCCTTGGTGGTTTCTTCAGGAAGTGACAACACACGCGATGCAGATGCTGTGACAGACGGATTTGTGTCTGCAGAGGATGTGATGTAGTTGTGAACTCCACTGACCTTAACCAGAGTCCTGCGGCAGACAGGCGGAGTGTTGTACACACAGTAAAGCAGCGCTGCCAGCGTTTTTTAGAACAAGGCTTCAATCACAGTGTGAGCTGGCACGCCCTGCTAAGGAATACTTCTCTTTAATTAGACAGCGTACATTCAGTGGGTCCTGAATGGAAACAAGCTGAGTTTTGTTGAGAAAGTGAACCTCTAGTGACGCATGTTGTGATACAAAAGTGACTTCTGGCTGTGTTTGTGTTTCTCCATGGTAAAGGCTATGGGTAAGCTACAGTTATGTCCCAGAATTCAGCAGTGGCCATTATATATCAGCTTTCTCCCTTCAAGTAAACACATATATGGTCAGGCATGTGCTACTTACACCAGTACACACAAATCTTCCCACTGGCTCAGGCTGACCCAGTCTCTCTCTTTCTCACACACACACACACACACAGAAAACCCCCCACTGTGTCTCATCATCACATGGTTGTCTGTGTAGTTACCTCATACTACTGAATGAGCTCCTTATCCATTCGGAACCTCAAACTCTCTTTTGGGAAGCATCCGTGACTCAGCATGCCGGCTGTCTCATATCTCAGGAAACAAAATGAGAGCATATTAGGACCTGGCTGAACTGACTGAAGCAGTACGGGCGGAGCGTTGTGTGCCGTGTGTACTGTACATACTGCAGGGCAATTAAAGAGGCTCCTAATTTTGTTTTTACACAGCTGCCATGGTGCAGATGAGTAATATGATCTGTCAGGAGAGGGAAAGAGAACTGTGTTGCTAATCATGGCTTGCAGCCAGCGGGGTGGTCTGGCACTTTATTTTTAGCCATGCTAGCGGCGTGACTCGAGGGATGGTTCGTCCGTCGATTGGTCAGTTTGTTGGTTGTTCGGTCCATCACACAATATCAATAGCAATTGGATTGATTGCCATATAATTTGATATAAACAGTCATGCCCCCCCCCCCTCCAGGATGAATTATAATCACTTTTGTTATCCCCAGACATTCCAATCAGCATCTGCTGTACTGATGCTGCTGCATGCTAAAAAGATAAACCAGTGTTTCTAAAACCTTTTCTGAGGTGTCCCACTTCATAAGCCGAAAAAGGTTCATGCCCCACTGCACAATATTCTATCATCTTTACCAATGATAGCGTAAGTAACTAATGAAAAAGGATCCAAGTTGAGTTGTAGTTAAATAAATGATGATAGCCTTGCAGAAAATCACATACCTTTAATTAGTTTCACTCCATATTTTTCCCCTGGTCATCCCCACTGCAGTGGCCCTGTAACCCACCAGGGGCGCCTGCGCTACTGTATAGAAAACCACGGCACTAAAGTAAGATGGTAAACATGTAAACATCATACTTCTCTAATGTCATTGTGGGAATGTTAGCATGCTGATGTTCGCTTTTAGCTTAGAGGGCCGTAGTTTAACCATTAATATGAGTTGCTTGTTTTAGTGTGACCTTTCTGCCCAACTGGCGACTATGATGTGATAAATAATTCAGTCTACCGTATCTTCAATAAATATTGGAATTTCTACTAATGGCTCTGCACAAAGGCTGGTAGCATTAGGTCACTTAAAGCTCTGTCTCTGTAGTTTTTATCTCTGTCAAAAGCATGAATGAAAATTGCACTTGCTTTGAATTTTGAGTGCCAGTGAGATCCTGTGAACAGATTCCCCACTCCTGAGACTTCACGAAGAAAGATGCAGTTAGCATGAAGGAATTTAGGCTGCGGCAGAGACACTCCACCCTTTCTGGGTGTGTTAGAGCTCAAATGTCCTTCTGCAGTGACTCAACGGTTCAAAAACTATTCATGAGTAATGTTTGATGTGTTTGGAAAAGGATGGACCTCCATTCTAGTTTATTGAGGCAGTGGGGTTGTAAAGATCACCGTACAAAAGAGGAAAGAGACAAAGGATTGAAAATAGGGGGAGGGGGGATGGGATGGGTGTGAACCCACACTGTCAAGGGCATTTTGTAATCGGAGATGGGAGTATTATCCCCACAAAAGTACCATCAACCTGTCTAGCGGCCCCCAAGGGACCAGGCCCAGCAGTAACTGACCCACCTCTATGCTCTGTGTTGCAGATGGGAGGAAGAGCTGTCCAAACGACAACAGCTGGAGTCCACGGTGGAATCCATGCAGCAGGTTGGGAAACATAAACAATAAAATGTATTCCACAAACATGTTCATGCCAAGTATTTGAATGCCAAGTCATGCCAAGGGTCATTTACCACATGCAGACGAGGAGCACAAATAAAATCTGAGCGTGGCATTTTCAAAACTGCTACTACAGCACACGCATCAACATTTATAGCTCAGATTTTTAATGGTGTTTCATTCAGAGCCGGACTAGAAGCTGCTACAGCCAGGAGGATGTGTGTCAGATTAGAAAAACCACATTACAAACCCATCAAGAGGAGTCTGTTGGCCTAGATATAGATATGAACATCAAATATCACCAGCAGCCTACCATTATGTTTCTGTTCAGAGCAGGCAGAGGAAATAGATTTAGAAGCAAAATCAATTTAAAGTGTCACACCTTGAGGCTATATCACAACACGTACATCATACCAGCTGGTGTGAGTACCTCATATAGTAGGCATCCTGCCCTCTCTCTGCTTTTGCACAAATCGATCTGTGACAGCATGCGTGTTTGTCTTGGATTCTGGGTCAGCAAAAATCCCAGATAGAGAGGTGGAGTGCCATCCCCCCTGGGGGCTTTAACCTTTTTGGAGCACTCACGCAGATGTTGTTGTGTATGGAAGAGATGGAAATCTGTTCAAAGATTGTAAATTCAGTGCAAACAGCCATTTATTGTTAAGGGCTCTGAGCCAAAGGGATGTTACCATGTGCTGACTTAATACAGAAGCAAAAACTGGCACTCTTCTAGTAAAGTCGACAGGGTTAGTCATCTTTTAGTCTTAACCTTGTCTTTAAACTGCTGAGCACATAGTTTATATTAGAATAGTTTTTGTGGGCTCCTAAAAAAAGCTAGTTTTCTTATAGCCGTTTCCTCGTGTTTCTAGTCTCTATGCTAAGCTAAGCTAACAGCCTGCTGCCTGTAACTTCATATTTACCACACAGGCATAAAAGTGGACTCTTAATCTCTTAAAACTCTAAGAAAGAGAAAGAATTATTCAGTTTTATCCTCTCTGTCTTACCTTGTTTTATCAGTTAACACACATGCAAGGATTCGGGACATGTTGACCTTCCCTTTACACAGCTACAGCTCCAGCTTTTAAACACCTTGAGTATTACTAAATGCTTTCTGCAGAGGCGCACATCTGCATCATATCAATTATGTAAATATAAAAAGGAAAGTAAATTATGACCTCTGGGTTCTGATCATAAAAAACTAAAGTGTAACCAATGTGGATAACAGCATGAAGGCTTTATTTGATTAGAAGGGCCCTTATCTGAATCGGTCAGTCTTTTATCTACCCAAATGAGTCATATGAATGTTTGTTATAAAGCTTCACGCCAGATTAGAAATGGTAATTGAACTTTATTTTGCAAATTTGTTTCATAAACTTTATTATTGAGTTGATTGTGGGTAAACACACTCCACTTAACCCTAAAGAATATCACTGTTTACCTGTTATGTGTCTTATTTTAATTCCCTCTCTGTGACATCCACTCAGAGCGCCCAGGAGTCAACCGAGGTCCAGGATGAGCTGAACGAGAAGGTGGACAGACTGAAGGCTGAACTTGTAGTCTTCAAGAGTCTGATGAGTGATGTAAGTATTTGTTCAGTGCTTGGTGATGTCAGCATTTCCCCAAGCCTGATAAAGCTTTCACACCACAGACAAAGTGCTGTGTTAACTCCCATACTTAAGGCCATCATGTTAAGCATTTCCAACAGTAGTGTTTGAAGAATGTACTATTGTTTCCCTGTCTGTCATTCTGATAAAGGCTGTCATTCATACAGGCCTGAATAACACCAAACAAAGAAACACCCTTCCTTCCTTTCTTCCTTCCTTCCTTCCTTCCTTATATAGCTTCAGGAAAACTATATAATGTCAGAAAGCTTCCAAGAGTAGCATTCATTGAAAAAAGCTCAAATGGCAGCTGTAGATCAGGAGCACTTCCTGTTCTGTACAGTCCTGTATTGTTCCCTGGCAGGTCTGCTCTAGCGTGATATACAGTTGTAATATACTGCAGTGGGCTCAGTCACACAGCTTGTGCTTGCTCAGGGATAAATATAGTCAGATATTGTTTTTGTTTTTGGAAAGCTTTGTTGTTTATCCTGCTTATCTTCTCTTTTGGCATGTGTACATTGTAGTGTTTTTCATATTATTTTCTGTGTTTGACTTCATCCCTGATGATGTGTGAGCTCAGAGACGGGTAAGTAACGTAGAAGTAGTGGATTTCGTAGATGGACGTAGATTGTTTAATATTGCATTTTTCTAGTTGTGGTTAGACATCCTGTATTTTGTCTTTTTATATTTGGTGTGTGCTCCAGATGTGGTGACTTTTTGCTCACAAAAAACAAAACCTTCACTGTAGCAGGAAAAAGCAAACTGAGAACCAAACCAGTCTAAATGTGACCAATTTGCCCTACCAAATCTACAAAAAGACAGAGATAGAAAAACATTATTGAACTGACAAAATGAAGATGCAAACCAATGGTTTTAGTACTCTATATGCACTGATATGTTCATATTATTTGTAATTTAACTTTAATTTAACCAGGAAAGCCTTGTTAAGATTAAAGATATTGTCAAGAGTGTCCTGGACAAGATATGCAGCAGTAACAGATAACACCAAATATGTCACAAGATCAGATCAGTCAATAAATAAAAGACCAACATATTTTTATTAAGGTTCAAATATATCATAAAAAACAAACAAACACAAATTAAACATAGGACAATTAAGTCAAGTCCCCCCACCC